GACGGATCAGTGTGCATGTGAACAAGCGAAAGAGACCGTGGAGCATTTCCTTTTTCGATGTCGGAAGTGGACTGCGCACCGAACGGAACTGCTACAGTGCACCAACTACCTCGTGCTACAGATGGTAGACGCGCTTCAACTGCCGAAGATAGGATGTTGAACACTTGGAGAAGCGCCTTCAAGCCAGCCTACTAACAAAATTACTAACCCACGAGGTTCCGCTGCGACACTGCTTGCCTGAAATGACATATATGGCAAGGTCTTATGTACGGGCTCTAAGGAGACACAGTACTGTGTATATTATGACATGTATAGTAGATCAGAGATAGTTGCCCTTCCGGCTTAGCCGCCGGGCGTTAATAGATTGTGTGTGTGTATATACCAATAGCATCGGGTCGCCAGAACTTCAACGTGTTTTAAGAAGAAATGAGAGGTGGCAGAAGATTCAACAGGCCGAGAGAAGGAAATCGGTGGCGTGGAAAAGAAAAAAACAAAATAACCCGGAGTGCAGAGGAGATTTTGCATGCGGCTACAACATACAGCATATTCTAGGGGGGAACAGCATCATGAGAATTGTCCGCGGCCCCGGCACTCCCTAAAGTGAGACTTGTTAAAGTCCGGTATTGCCCAACTCTCCATCCACTCGCATTTTACAATATCCTGCGCAGTTGGCCGCTTTTCCGGCTCAAAAGACAGCATCGACCGCAGCATATTCATAACAGCAGCTTTCTCTTCTAAGTCAAAACCTTGGATTCCAGCCTGTTGTCGCGGGAGTTGAATGTGCTTTTCAAAGCGGTCTTCCCAAGACCTCACATGTCGACCTTGATTTGGTTTTCCACTTTCATCGAAATATTTGTGCCGCGCCCCCCATTTCTCCCACCACCGTAAAGGTAAGTTCCCCCGAGTATCAATCTGCTCGGCTGTGATATCGTCCGGCGTGGCAAGTATGTCCTCAAATAAGGGGCGCTGGCCGAGTATTATCCAGATAGAACATGCGAGTGTCCAAATATCAGCTGAAAAAGAAAGACCACACTCTGACTCAAATCGGGCTTCAGGAGGCACAAAGGACATAGGGGCGTGCGAGTTATGTCGGTACTCTGTAGAGGGTCTGTATGCCTCTCCAAAATCACTGAGCAGGACTCTAGATTCTGGAAGGGAGAATTCCTCTGAAGCTTTCCCAAGCCAGATAGGAGGGACGACGCTAGACGGAACACTAGATTCAAGGGGCTGACCATCAAAACGTATAACTGGTTCTGACACGGGCGAACCGTATTTTTCGTATAACTCTTCGATTGAGAGCTGATCAAAATCGGCTGGGAGACATAAAAGAATATTGCCGATGTGAAGGTCTGATGTAGTTGTTGTATAAGCATATGGTTGTAAAGCTATAAAGAATGGTGACTAACCTCCATGAACAACTCCTTTGCTGTGGATGTACTCAACGGCTAGCAAAAGTTGCACAATCAGCGAGCGAGCGGTCATGGCCTGAAAGATGCGTTTGTATGACCCTTCCTTCGCACTAGAGACACTACACATTGCTAGGGTTGTCACATAGCAAGGGTGGGTGCCGTTAGGGCCATGGAGGACGAATCTATCTTTGATAGCGGGTATCATTGTCCTCCCCGGGTGATCAAGTGGGGAAGAGTGGTTGAGATAATTGAGGACATCAACCTCACGATCATTTGAATCCGCCGTTCCAACTTTGACTGCCACGTATGTATTAGACTGGTAGTCCCGGCAGAGCCAAGTGGTTGAATAGGCTCCGTAGCCTAGCTTGTGGGCGACTCGGTATCGGGATTGAAGAATATCTCCTACCAGAATAGGGTGATATCCACCAGGCTGGTACTTTTCAAGTCTCTCGACTTCTTCTATCGGTACATATTTGAAGGGGAGTGGACCAGAGTCAGCACTGGACGAGAAGTTCTTGAAAGCCATAATTGACTTGCATGCGAGTTCACCAACAGAGATGTTCCAAGAACAAGGATAGCAGAGCAACGAGGAAGATGTTGGGTGAATGAACATCCGATATATAGAGCTTCGTTGACGAGCCCAAAGTGAATTTCGCGACCTGATCACGAAGGCCATTACCGGACGACGTGAGTTAAGTAAATGATTAGGCGGTGAAAGTCCGATTAATTATGCCCGCCACAAGGTCATCTTTGAAAAGGATAGTTTTCCTGTAGCTTGACGTATTGGGTGCTTGGTAGATGATAAGTTGACGTCTAGAGCGCACATGACCCGCCTGTGTTGTCTTAGTCAGTCGCCGTAGCGACCGCGCGGACGAGGCGGCTAGGGAAATCGCGGAATGTTTCAGATTCTGGTGGAGCAACGCCACTAAGCCACAATTCCTAAAGGAGGGCACAACTTCTACTAGATGACCACAAATATCAGTGGAGAGGAGAATTCGGGCAACTATACATCCGAAAAGTGTGTGCCAAGCCCCTATTATTAGCCAATCAACTACCCATTTGGAAATTGAGCTCTTCCTACAATTAGTTCTAATGAGACTATTTGATAGAAATCAGATGTATGGCGAGCGCACTAATAAAATTCACAATGGTAAAATTCTCTAGCTTATTAAAAACAACAATGATTTGGTTTTGACAATCTGGTCAGACACAATTAGTAAGCAAATGCATAATACAAAAAGTCACATGTTTGTTTCAACGGTAAAAAGACAGTATCTTCCTGTTTCTTGACACTATCTCTGAAATATACATGCAGGTGGCCCCGCTGTATATAGCTTGCGATATGTACAGTGACGCAGCAATGTTTTAACACCCTTGGACAGACTGCTTTTGAGACCGCCTATTGTAGACAGAAGAGCAAGTTTATGATATCTTACTTTTTAAACATTCTTGTTTCAGTAGTTGTTTTTCATAGAAGGTATGGTTCATTCAATACACAAAAGCCAAGTGTTTTATTAAAAAACAAGTTAAAGAGTGTTGAAAAAATCGAATTTTTGACCGGCAGAAATCAAAAAATCAGAGGGGTGTTAAAACATTTGCTGCGTCACTGTATCTGCTAACATACAGTACTTTCCGTGCGCTTCTATCACTTATTTGCCAGGCGTTGGATCCTCTTCGAATACTTAATGTAGTTTGCTTCGCGTGGGATTACAGACCCGCACTAGTTGTTCAGACTCTCGGTTGGATAGTCGGACTGAACCTAACTCCAGGCCTCGTGCTTGTAAAATAGTATGAACCATACCGTGGTTCACTCCTGGCAGTGGGCCCGGGATTAAGAACAGAATGTAAAATGGTGAACCTGGCTTTGCAATTATCACCCAAGTAACAGTCCAGTCTGCTGCAATAGTGTTTCAATAAAATAATGTTCACTGTTGCTCTGTATTGACGGCGATCGGTGGTTTGAAAATGTATGGTACCATTCAGTGGTAGGCTAATTCTTTAAGATGACAAATGGAAAAAGACAATTTCAACCTCGCAATAGACACGCTGACGAATAATAATACGCACTGTAGGGTATTCCAATTTCCACAGTAATGTGTTCTATAAATCCATGTAATTTTCTTTGTTTCTGCCAAGTTTTACTAGCCACTTTATCTACCATTCTTGGATTTTCCGCACAAAGCACCAATTGCAACACGAACCCAATTGCAACACGAATTTACAGAGCAGCAGCTATCACCATCCCCTGGTGAATCCTCATAACAAGTGTTGGGTTTGTATCGACCGGTTGCTACCCTTCAAGATCCAAGTATATTGGTAATCCGAAACCTAGCCACTACCAGCACTTGGAAAGTGACCATACCCAATCTCCGGTGCAACATCTAACTCCATTTCAGAAGGCCATACCGGCTTTCCATTCGACTTCAAGTGGGAGTCTGGCTTCGCCCCCGAATGAGTCGCTTGAAGAAAAGTCAAGTCCCCTTTGCCCTTGACGTAGCCATGAGAAGCAACATGGGTATTGCTGGCAAGCTGGACGTCATCCTTGAAACAGAGAGTGACATGCCAACCCAAGGGATCCGGCTTGTGTATGCCTCCTTGACTGGTACTGGAGTGCTCGTTGGACCTGCCAGTCGACGTTAGCGAAGTCTCTAATGACATGGGCCACAAGTCTCTATATCACTGTTCGTTGTGCTGAAATTCTTTCTCACCTGATGAGGATGGCCTTGGGGTAGAGTTTTCTGTCTCTTGCGGTCTGATAGGCAAGGGCTATCAAGTCTCGCAGCCTCTGTTGATTTTCAGGGAGCATTCCCCGGTAGAAGTAGTATTTCACCATGTTGATGGTCGACATATTAGGCCAGTGATTCAATTATTATCGGACTGTATCTTAACAGTATAAGGTGGAATAGAATCGACGAGATGTTGGCTAGTTCAAGTGGTCACTAAGAAGAGAGGTTGGGAGGAAAGATCCACCACAGCTGCTGAGGAGCTAGTGTTTATAAACATGAAAGAATCTTCCTAGCTAAACCTCTTTATGCAGACCTGTCACATCACAAGTCAGCCGCCAGCCACAAAAGAAACGCTAGGAAGGCCAACTTTGAAAGCGGAGGGCCCATCAACAACGTACAAGTTTGGAAGCCACGTTCAGCTGTATCGGTACATATTTGACCCCTACACTGCTTGGCAGAATACTTGCAAGAGTAGTTCTCTTGGTTTTCTAAAAGATATCGACACTAAACCTCATGTGGGCTGTGCAAGTTGCCTAATGGGGGTTGCGCATTTATGCGCAACCCCCATTAGGCAAGGCAAGGCAGATAAATTACACCGATCAAATGGCCCACGGCCCTTTGGAAATGACTCGGAACATGGCGGCCCAGTAATATTATCCCGCCACCGATCGGACATTGGTGAAATCATCGGCGGCTGGAGTAAGCGCTTTGGGATGACTCGTGTGATTATGCAGCAGATAACATTATTTGTCACATCTATAGGCTACCCCGCTTTATATCATAAAGTACACCACGCATATATACACAGGTACCTCATTGGGAACTATCAAAATCTCCATCCATCTCTTTGGACTCAACAACGACTATGTCTCAAAGCAACCGTGCATTCCAATTCGAAGGCAGCGACAGTGATTACATAGCCTTCCTTGAGAGTCGGCTTTCAGCTGCCTTAAGCCAAGGAACTAGCCAGGCTTCTGTTGGCGCGGCGATTTCGCGATGCGATGCTCCAGCGACCACATCATCGGATTCTCGGCCGACTACTTCTACGACTGCATTAGCGGACTCTCAACATGGCACTTTAGCTATAGCATCAACAGCATCAGCGGAGTCTCAGCCTAGTGACTATCGGAATGGATGTTCAGTGTTTCGCGCTTCTCGTCCAACCAGTCCTCGTTCGACTGGATGTCCTCCTTTGTCCACTAGAGATGATCTCAAAATTCTATATTACGACCCGATCCGAAACCGCGACAGCGATCTTCCCGATAATGCTCTCTCCAAGTTGCCATCCTTTAAGCAAACATCGGTTGTTGAGGCCCAAGGCTTGAAGGAGCTCAGACATTTCATTGAGGACGTTATGAGGAATTCTCATTGGATTAAAAAGAAGAAAGAGCTAGGATTATCTCGCCCAGAAATCAACCAAGATACCATTCACGCGCTGTGTGGTCGACCGTCAGCCTCAAATCTGCGCGATGAGTCAAACTTATACCCAAATAATGAACCCTCAGAACACAGCGCCTTGATTATGCGAGGATGCGACTATGGCGCGTTGACGAAAGATAGAAAACTGCAAGGTAATCTTCTCCTTCACATCGCCAAATACCAACAGCTCATATTTGTGTCCTTATGTGTCGTCATGCTTGAAATTGGAGCTCCGATTGATAGTGTGGACTGGATGATGCGACGATATATCAGTGATACTAGCTCAGCGAATCTCCGGCGACTTCGATATGGATGTAAATGGGTAAATCGTTGCATGTCTAAGTTGTTGGAACGGAACTGGGGGTTTTTAAGTTGGGAAGCTTTCCTCTTATGTTGGTATTCCCATCCAGAGTAGCTTCTTGATGCTGATCACCTCAAAAGTTCCCCGGTCTATCCAACAATACGGACGATTTGCATACACGAAAAACAGTTGCGAAACCTTCGTGACAGATATGGGGACGCCCGATCTGGCACTTCCTTTCGCTGAGGATGGGCTCAGTCCGTACTGCCTTCCTTGTTTCATTAAAGTGATCGCCGGCAACGACTTAAAGTATATTGACCTCATGAATATTGGTGAACACATGCTTATTTATACAGGCTAGTTGATATTTGCAACAGTTTGGGCTATAGCATCCTACTCGTTTCTCCGATATACGAAAACCACTTCAATAATGCCCCCTGGACTTCAATCCTTTCATACATGCATACAGCGAACCTGTCGTGGATTTCAATCCATTCACATATGCACGTAACGACCCGGTGGTGAATTTTGACGCCTTCAACCAAGTATTTCCCAGTGGCGCAGACAATCCATGATCCGAGGAGCGAGGGGAAGAAACAGAAAGCAGCATGCAAGCCGACAGGTAGGCTGACGAGAATGAAACCAGTTGTAGAAGTTATATGCAAGAAGGAAAGACGAAAGAGGAAAGAGAAAGGCAAGAGCTGGCCGCTGAGAAATCAACTCATTATTTTGTCCGTATGCGATCAGCTTAGGAACATGTTAGCGATGGGCAAGCGCTGAGCGGCTTTCCTACATACCTGGTGATAGGGGGAACCGCAAAGATAGCCGCGAGCCTGGGCTCAACGGTAACATCACCATCGATTCGTCTCATCAGACCATGCTTAAAAGCACCTCCGGGTTCGCTTCGCGCCGAATCTGATATGTTGCAGATAGGTATAATATTGACGGGGCCGGGTAACTTGTCCCATTTGAAAGATGTGTTCCACATCCATACTGTGAAGTTCCAATTCTGAGAATAAATTAGTAGGTCGCCATTCATAGAAACTTCCAACCATACTGGAAGGCCAACTGTTCTGAGAAGAGGCTTAACGAAAGCCGAAACCTCTTTGTGCTCATACTCTAGATTTCCATTCCCATCGTCTTGGAATTTCATGCCTGAAAGTGCTAGCGCGAGGGCATGTAGCAGGCTCTTTGCTTCTTCGTTGAGAGATGAGTCTGTCATACTGAGCTGTGTCAGTACGCGATATCAGCGAGTATTTCCAATTCCGGCGTTAGATCTCAACTGTCCAACGTGGAGTCAAATAACGCAATGATGTGGGCAGATGGAAACGTGTACCTCTATTTTCAAGCGGAAGAAGTTCGGAGCGACCGAGGTGTGGATAAAAGAGGAATTGCCGTCGCAGAACACTTGAAGATGACCGCGGGGTGAGGGGCACTCTGACGGGTCCCGTGACCTTCGGTGCCCATCGTTCGACGTGGGTCCACGACAACCTAGTGAGATCACAGCCCGACCAGTGGAGATACTATTTGGGTATTAGACATCCGTCTTGATCCTTAGCATGCTCATAGTGATATTTACTCTACCAACACCCGACATTTACCAAGTTGGTATTTTGCGAACATTATCCCTTGCATACATTATCCGGAATTTAGTTCCAAGGTTATAAGGGAGCCGTGTCACGGGACCACCCACTCCCTCTCGGGTGTGGGTGGTCCCGTGACACGGCTCTGCTTACTTATCATATATGTGGTGAATCTCCATTAGGCAAACCACCTTTCACCAAGGTCCAGTGGGGAATGTGACACCACTACTAACTAATTTACAATTTATGCGCCTTATTCCATATCATTCTCTCTGTTATTTTGCTTTAGTGAAACCCACAACTCGATCTCTGGGAGTGGCCTAGAAAATAACCATCTTAGAACTGAACCTATGAGAATTTATGACTCTTCCCTTTTAGTCGCTGCAACGAAAACCACATATAAGATCAAAAGTTTTAGATTGATATCACAATACTTGGTATTAAGAACACACCCACGCGAAGAAGAAATCGATAACAGGCACTAACCCCAATGCTAGTGCCAAGAGATTACTTGATACTGACAAGTTTATATCAAACCGAATTACAGGGTTTTGATTCAAATAGCTATCTTAGTAGATTCTTCCAACTAATCACTTGATTGGTATCGAGTGGTTTTTAACCCTTTCCGTCTCCACGTTTTGTCGAGCTGAAGGAAATTTCAATCAAAAGGTCGGTATGATAACCAGAAAAAGCTACCAGCTTACCAAAACTCTTTCTGTTCTAGCTTCTCTCTTCGAAGACTGTTTCCCAGCTGGATAATATTTTTCTCTTCATTCTAGATCCTTCTACAGATGTTGCAGACCTTTATTGTGGAGGGTTTCCGGGGAGGGCAATTTGGCACAGCAAAGGAAGCGCTCGATATGTATCTATAATTGGGGCATCCACTTCAGCAACGGGGTCCCCATACTAGGAACCATTTTACGCGGAGCTGTGGTAACCGCGGAAAGGGGTTGTAAAGCTCAAAGAACAAGTGACTAACTTTGAATATGGTCAAAAGCGCCACTACAGTTTCGAATTTTGTACTAAACTGCATATGACATATCGCAAGCCCGTTGATATTCAAGCTTGATTGAGGTCCTATTCGTGGCAGCATAGGCTCCGCTTCTGGAATGAGAAACCTCTCTTGTATTATATATATCCCGTGCCCTACATCCGGATTGAAAAACGAGCATTTTTCATTGATTACTTTACCGTTGCACTATTGTTGGTATGTCCTTGTCTTCATCGTCCACAATTAGCATCATCAATGTTAGCCAAGGCCTATCGGGCCTAATGGCCGACGTAAGCCGTGCTTTCTTCATTTGTTACCAAGAATATACTGCAACAGGCACACCACTGTGAGTCTGACTCCTAACAGCACAAACGATCTATCTGACAAAAGAATAAGAGACGAAGAAACTACCACTGGAGTGGAGCTTGAAGAAGGGTCACTCACTCCCTTGAATGATTCCCTTTCCATCCCGGCTATATTTCAGGATCCACAGGTTATCCAAGAGATCTTGAATGATCCAAGTATTGGAGGGTTGAAACTTGTGGTATTCGAGTGGGTGATATGTTCTTCTTTCATGGCTTAACGACTGATGAAGTGATAATCAAGCCGAAACCAGGGTACATCAGCAAGCACTTCTTTTCTGTAAGCACAAAGTTCCCCACTCGTACATCCGAAATCAGCTAACGTCCCACAGGGCGTTCTCGATCAGAATCGCAGCTCCGCGGTTTTCCTTATTGCCAATCTCCAGCCATATATCCCTGCGGCAACAAGTACAGGATATCATCCTCACAATTTGCCCGTAGAGGAGCAACATCAATTGATGTGGATGCCTCGATACCCTAGTTACGCACCCTCGTGGTACTTAGTTAGATAGTTAGATTGAGAGCTCTCTCTTCTCCTAACGCAACCTTTTTTTGCTCCTGCTTTTGGTGCCTACACTCTGTATTGTATTGCGTGATAATTGATTTCCTCCCGTATTCTGATACTTTATTATTTCTTTCGATTTCTTCCATAGTAAATGTCGGGACATATACTCCCGTCAGAATAAGCAAAGAGGGGTTGTACGTAATCTTGCTAAGCAACGGCTCCCGCCGTATGGATTCAGGGGTATTGGGCCTTGACCTAGGAGGAACATCTATTTTACATGAATCAAATTGACTTTTGCTTTGGAAGCATAACCACTGTTCACTTAACTGTGTACACGGTACCTAGCGCTGGTGATACCAACAACTTCTAATGGTAGGAATATTATTCGGGTACACGTTACTTTCTTTCATCTTTGTATTCGAGAACCTGCAGTACAATCTAGTGTCCTAACACTAACAAAAGAGTCCGGTTAAAATTATTCGCATAACCAGGGTTAAGAATTGTGACATGGACGGAAATAGACTGGTCGTGTTAGAAACAATGGACTGTATTATATCCAAATTCAAACCCACTGTCAAGAAAGATTTTGCCCGTGAGAACACTCCAGTGCTTCATATTCAAGATATACTGCTTTGGTTATCAAAATCCTCTAGGCTTATACTCGGTTTTTCGAGAAAGGCATTTTCATCGTCGATTGCTTTATCTCTGCACTTTTTAATTTCCGCTCCCTAAGTAGCAATACCCGGAAACAATGAAAAAGCAGGTAAGCTCGGCAAATATGCCGTAAGTTTAGACGATGCTGCACCAGCAGAATCCTTACCATATACCTTGTGATGCCGGCGCTGATCTTTCATTTGAGAAAATAGGCGATTCGATATTGTCTGATATCGACGAATGGGAGTCTGACGGCTCGTGGTGCCGCATAAGGAGAAGGCTGCCAATTGGTTTGTGTCTTTATATTCCATACCATGACGCGCAAGGATATAAATGCTTTCCATTTCCCTGAGGAAGGTTACGTTCCAAGAGGCGAAGATATTTATTGGCATCTGACTTGAATTATTCTGGGCTCAAAATGGAGATATGCCTCTCTGCAGCAATTACATACCTGATGGTCTTGAAATTAGAAGTGAGCTTCGCTTTCCGTGTTGAGGAAAATTACTAACCAATTGACCCAGCCCTGGGATATGTTGCACATCCGGGAGCAAGATGAAAAAGCTGTGACAATAGGAGCAGCGGGGTGGAAGCTAGAGCCTTCCCTGAACGAGATGAAAAGCTCCATATTCGGGTGCGCATTTCTTCTCGACCACGGAGGATATTTTTGGTGCATGGTTTGTCACACACTGCGGCATTGGAGGAATCCAGAGTGGAAGCCACTATCCGGAACCGAAGGCCTTCGAGTTGGCAGCAAAACTCAAAAAAGACTACTGCCTCTATGCCCTGTCGTCTATGGCAATACTTCCACTTTGGTTCCATTCACTGTGCTGGAGATGACGACACCTGGTCGAACAATGATTTGGCAGGCTGAGCATCCGGATAGCCAGTACACGCTACGAGTCAAGGTCCAATTACTACGCCAAATTTGTAAAGCAGCTTTGATTGGAAATTGGAAGTATTTCCGGCGCCTGATCCTCAGCTTCGCCATTTGTGGGTCACGACTGTTGTTGATTGTCATTGTCATGACCCAGGGGCTGGTAAATACTGTTTGGGAACGGATCTCTGGGAACTCTTTCGAGCCACTTGAGTGATTGTGCGCATTAGGTATTTTTCTTTTTTTCCTTTTCGTTATGAACTTGGGCTACCGGGCTCGAAGTCACCCATCAATGTGACGCAATATCATTCCTTTTACTACTCGTTTGCAACAACCTGGCCATTGATTCCAGCCTTATTTAGAACACTTTCGAGATGGTAATCGAGACCTTA